TTTTCGATCTTTTTTACTTTGATATTTTTAGGAAAAAAAATCCATCCACAAAGAACGTTGGTTTTTTAATCATCCCATGTTGATTAATACAATAAAAAAAAATAAAATCAATTTGGTGTGACGTTAATGTGCAATATGCGACAAGATTGTTATTTTAGAGATAGATGATTGTCTTATTTTTAAATAAATAGTAATTGTTAACAATTTCTTCAATGACTTTTTCTTGGTTTTTGTTATGTTCTATAATATATTTCCTATACAAACAGCACAAAAGTACCAATCCTGTTGAATTCTTGGTTGTTGGACCAGATTGGCATGGACCTGATTTAATGTTAGGAAAACCATGGTTGCAAAAAAATGGCACAATGATAGATATGTGTAATAACAAGCTTTCTATACATGATAATTTTGCAATCCCAATTTTCCAAAGCAGGTAATCGACATTCTACTAAAAATATCTAATATATTTGCCCAATTACACTACGTAGAATACAATTATTATGTGATCACCAGATCTTCTCTGTTTTACGAATAAATAAGAGGTATGTATTGTTGTTGTATAAAAATGATTAAGCTTATTTTTTGACATCGAATGAGAGCCTACCTATCAGAGAAATTATGCAAATATGTGTCTTTGACACTAGCTCCACTATTATGATCGGCAAAGGTAATGGATCGCTCATAGAAAAACGTCTAATTAATTAGTGTGCTTGTTGTAGGGTAGATAAATCCTCCGAGATCGCCCATAGAGAATAAATTGATTCCATTCATGAGAAATATTGCTCCGAAATTACTAATTTATTAGCAGAGCTGGCATTGATAGTATAACCCGTGAAACTACTAATATTATAAAAACAGCTAGATTTTGAAGAGGTATCCGTAAAGATTACCTGTTTTCAAAATTCTGTTATGTCAATTACTAACCTCAAAAATCTCGCATATAATATCTTGAAATATTTCGAAGATAGTATTGTCAAAGATAAAGAAGTCCCGAAATTAAGCCAATGTGTAAAATGTGATCATGAAATTTTTTTAAACCCTCTTAAGGGAATCACGATCTTAGAGTGTGGTCATGTATTCCACAGGATTTGTATTGAGAAATATCTTTTAATTACCATACCAAACAAGTGCCCTTTCCCCAACTGTGATAAAGATGTTGAAATTTTTGAAGAGTTTTCTAGACGAGATTCCACATCGAGTGGTGTTTCATCTGTAATTGCTAGAATGGAGAAAGAACTCCTGGTCAATTCTACTGGAAACTCGCAGGATAATGAAAGGATGGATATAGAATATGAATCGGAGGATGAAAACAATACTTCCCAAACGCAAGCATCTACGCAAGAAAGATCTCGAAAAAGACCTTGTGGAGATACTTCTAGTAAAAAAACAAAAACTAAGAAAGGAGAATCATCTATGTTAATAAAGCTTATCGAGGAGTTGAAGGCACCAAGTTCTTCATCGAATGAAATCGCTCCACAACCTGCCACGATCACGGGTAATTTTGCTGAACTATACAATGCAATTATTAATGCCGAAGGACGTATTGGGAACGTAAATCAAGAAATTATTAAATGCTACTTTACTTTTGGAAAAAAACTCAAAGAAAGGTTAACCAAGTATAAGGAAACTAATAAAGAGCATAAAGCTCAGAGGAAACTTTTCGAAGAAATTGAAAAACAGCTTCCGCCTGACCTCTCGAAAAACGCAATTGAGAAAAGAATAGAAAGAGCAAGGAAGATTTACGATCTTTTCAGTAATATTGGTGAGGATAAAATACAAAGGGTAAAATCTTATTCGGCATTGAGAATTTCTAAATTAAGTTGGGATGAAATCGATGCTATAGAAGAAGAGTTCCACTTTACTGCGCCTCTATCACGTGACTTTGGTTGACCGATCGGTCAGTGAATATACAATTAGTATATTGCATGATAAAATAAATAAGTTCTTTTGATTTTTGTTTGATTAAACGTAGTTATAAAGATTCCTACCAATGTTTACTTCTTTGAGAAGGCGTCTAACATCTTTGATATTCTCCTCGTTCATACTCCTATCTACTTTGGTAATGATCGCATTGCGTAAACATCAGAAGTCCCATTATACTTGAAGATGTGAGATTTAAGTCTTTCGTTTAGTCCATAACCTCTTCAAGTATATAAGAGTGTACTTACCTCCAATAAATCCCTTAACTGTTACTTCTTCGTGAAAATTGGAAGTTCATACATATATTTTACAGGATCTTTCTATGCCTTCACTCTTAGATGCGGGTAGGTAATAGTTGAGTGTCTTTTCCATATTTTTCTAATCGTTTAGCAAAGTAAAAGAAATT